CAGATCCACGGAAGTGGCAAATGGCGTAAAAATCTTTAGGTACTTGCTCTCAGTTCATTTACATTTATTTTAGAATAACGTTTTCCTTTTTGTGTTAAATCCTCCAAGGATTTGGGAGTTTGTGGGTCAAATTTTGTTAGTCAATGTTAATTTCAGATTTTTGTGTAGTATAGTTGCGGTCATCGGATGGATAATTTTGTTCCGATTTTTTACTTAGTACTATTTATAGCAAAGTTTTTTGAAACATAAAAAAAATCTAAGTTAATAAATCAGGTGCGGTTGGCCGAAATTTTTAAATTAAAATTTGCCCCTGAATTTTTTTTTGTACGTCAATGTGTCAATTTAGCGTGTAATAATTACCTAGATAGCAAAATATGTATATCTAATTTTTTAGAAAAATTTATAAAATTTGATTTTGCGAAATCTAATTTTTGTATGGAACCCATATAAAGTTAAAATAAAGATATGCATGCAATGTTAAAGTAAATGGAAGAAACGTGCTATGCGTATGTTTCAAGTGAGTTTTTCCTTTACAAAATTTTTTGGTAACATCATCGACATTTTTGCAAGGATACATCAATTTGGATAACTGTTTTACTAATAATAACAGAATTGTATTCCCAAATTTTCGGAAAATGGGGTGAGCCATTCCTGATTTAATCAATAAGATAAATTGACTTATTTATTAATTTATTGAGTCACCCTGTATAAGCGATTCGTAAAAATAAGAATGCATTATAAATCACAAGTATAGACACATCATATTTTGCATATTTTAGACAGGATTTATTCGGCAAAATTTTGAAATGGTACCATCAATTTTTTTTGGGGGGATAAACAAAGACAATTTGACTAAAAATTGACCGTGCCTATGATAATTTTAAAACGTCTGCATTTGGCGTTGCAGTTTCAAAATTAAATTGCAAAATGTTATAAAATTTTGACTTATTTTCCACAAAATCTGGATGTTTCGAGTAAAATTCCAATATGAATTCATAAACTACACGTGTAGAAGTATGTTATTATATAAAACGTAAAACCCATTTATTGTGTACAACATGATATTCATAATACACAAGTAAAATTTAACAACAATCGGTCCGATAGTTTCGGAGATTACCTGTCCCGAGTGTAAGCTAATGAAGCACTGAAATAGGGTTTATCCAGTGAATGGTTACTTTTTTCCACGTTTCATGACGGCTAAAATATGAAAAAATAGGTCTTCCGTCTCCGTCTGCCTGTCGTCGATCATCTGTTGTCTAATTTTAAGTGTGTTTTATCGTTTTTTATGTAATGATCAAAGGTTAATGAAAATTTGTCTAATCTTTCTCACCAATAATTTGATGATGTCACCTGAAAATTTTGCAAGGTAAATTATTTAAATATTATAAAATAACATGATCCTGATCTGGTGATTCATGAATTTGTCTTGAGTTTTTAACCTTAAGTATTCAGATTTTCGCAAAAAACTTATAACAACATTTTATAGTAATGTAAGAAGAATCCGCTAATTACCTCAAGTAGTTAGAGCGCTTGCTAATATCTATATTTTTTCTAAAGAACTGGATTTGTTTTATTGTGCTTCAGAGACGAGGTAAGTTGTTTAATAACATAAGACCAGAGATATTGAATAAAGTAAATTTTAAATTGATTTTTTTTAATTTTGGGGAATTTTGTCGTGGTCAGATTGTTACACTTCAAGTCTAAATTTTCACAATAATAAGTTATTTTTAATAATGTGTGAATCTGAAGACAATCTTAGCCTGCCATCCCAAAAAATGAGAAATTGTCCAAAATAGCACCCAGAATTTATCGCCGAACAAATTTGAGAAATTTGAAGATTGATGTAAAGAAAATTTAGGAAAATCATGTAGTTAAAAATTAAATATTAGCACCATACTTGGCATTAATCTAAGTGCCTAGGACACATGCAATGTTACAATTAATATGTATAATAACTGTACATTTCATGGTAAAATTTAAATCCAGTTAAAAATATCAGTTCGTTTTCTGACGTCTATTTTATTTGCTATTTGACAGTGACATTTGTAATGACTACCAATCTTGAAAACATAAATTACACCAGTTCTATTACGAAACTCAATTAAGCACTCAATTTGGTTATAAACGCGAACTAGAAAAAATATATACCTGTTATAATGTATTCAAAATAACAAATAACAGAGAGTGGACTGTCTGCAACATCTCTTGGCTTAGAAACAGTAATAATAACAAAGAAAATAAAAATTCTGCAAAATTTTCACACACCAGATATCAGAATGTGTTTATTATCGTCAAAAAAAAACAATTTATCTAACAATTTATTTAACACTATCTGACTATTTTAGAAACAAAATTGCCGTATTCAGGAGTTATGTGACTAAGATAAATTTTGTTTATTTTTAAATTATAAAATTTGATTTTGCAAATTTTATTTTTCTGTGGTAAATACCCATAAATACTTTGTTTATTTTTTTGAGTTACGCAATCTAAGCACTTCTAAAAAATATCAATGCATTGCTCAATTATTTAGCGGCATTTTAAGATGACGTCATCAAGTTTTTAGAAGGGACTAGATAAACTTTTGCAAAATTTCAGAACATTCGGTTTTGTAGTTCCTATGTGTAAAACATTCTTATATAATTTAGTTTTTTTCAAAACCTGGATCTCCAAAGTGAAAATGAAGGTGGATTCATAAACCACAGGTATAGAAGTATGTTATTTCACAAAATTCAAGTAAGATAGATCTACTTTGGAAAATTTGTACATTCAAATGTCACAGCAATACAGACGGAAATTTCTATTTCTATTTTAGGGGTTGTGGAACGTCAAATTAATTGTTACCAAACCTTTTTAAGAGCACTATGATATGTAAAATTCAGGTGAGTTAAAATTTTAAAGTAATCGATTCAGTACCTTCGAGATCGTGTATCCAGCACATAACCTACACTTTCGTATTCATCAACATGCCGACCGCCATAAACATGAAACTAAAGTAGCTCTATGATAATACAAAGCTCCATTTAACCGTCCGTCGTGACGCAAAAAAATAAATATGTTCGCTTTGCACAGTAGCGTTGATGGCGAAAGTCACTTTTAAATTTAAATAACAAGGTTAATAAAGTTTACTAAAATAATGTTAATAAATTACTAAAGTCAAACTACGTACGGGTGCAGAAACCATACTTTACCTTGTTTTTAGCTTCACCGCAAAACAGAATCGTTATCATCACCTTTTTATACCGGATAAACACCAGTGCGATCCTCAGTCGAAAAAACATCAAAAAATAGGTATTTTCGTCGCGCCGAATTAGTCTGATGATTGGCGTGCAATTTTAATAACCTTCCATAAAATCAAATTGTTGTGGTAGGTACGTATGTGTATTTGAAATTGATGGATTCATTTACCTCGACCCAAGGCCAGATATAAATAGAACAAATCTGTGTTTAGCTAACGTGATATATTTCACGATTTTGTTCTAACAGGCGGGAAGATGAAAATTGGTATTTAAACGGCTATTTTGCAACGGGTCATTAAGAAAGCGATTTTTATCGAAAAATTGAAATTTGGTCACGTGTAATGAGTGGGGAATTTTACTTCACGCTGCAAATCCTTGAAAAAATGTCGATGGGAGATTATTTACGCGTTTTTATGGTAATTAGAGTTTCTTCCAGGAGTACGTCGTATATGAAATATTCAGTCCTTTTGAAAATCTTATTTAAAAAGCGCGTTGTTTGCTTATAATACTGGGTTAGGTTAAACTAATTTAAAATGATAATATAAAAAATAGGTAAGTAATGGTAAAATACATAAGTGACAAAAACGTTCAAATGTATTTAAACTAAGCTAACAAGATGTGTTACTTTTTAATTGTTCGATAGAGCTTTAATTTATCAATTCAGTGTCGCTATACTACAATACATGTATAGTATAGCCACAGTAAACGATACCACTATTTGAGAAAACGTAATTAACTCACGGAAAAATAATTCTTCAGTAACTGCGGTTTGTATTAATTAGACGTGAGTTTTTTGTTTAGTCTTGTGGTATAACATATTATCATTCTTTACCGCAAGTATCACCATACAGTAATGGAATGTTACCAAAATATGACAATTCCACTATAAAGTATAATAAAATAATAAAAATAAACGGCAAAGTCAAAAGTTAAAGTTATTTTACAGATTCGCACTTTTCCAAAAGTGCTTTCGTGAGTTTTTTTATTGTGCAAGGATTACAGAACAGCAGGATGTTATTCACAGTTAGTCATAGACAAAACCTGTGCTTAACTTTTGGCGCGTCTTTTACCTTACAGCTTAATTTTTGTTGTGTATATTTTACTAAAAGGTTGATTAAAACATAATAATTAAAACATGATTTTACCGAATGCCTCTGCTTCCAATTCCTAAAACGTCGGCAAAAGCCTGAGAATCATAAATATTTGATTCGACGATTGGTGAATCGCTGTGGTTTTCCCGGTGTAAAACCGCACCACAAGAATCTCCCAAAACGCCATCTACCCAAATCTGCCCAAAATACTCCATCAAAATTGGCGTAAATCATGGTACGTCTAATTATCATAATGATTGTCATTTGAGTTCGAAATTTTGACGCACGAGAATACAATAGCGATTTAATTTGATTTGGAAAACGTCGGTTTACATCACACATTCGTCGTCATACGCAACACTAATGGGGGTCTTCGGAGGTCAATATCGCGTCGTGTTTCCCGAAAAATTTACATTCCATTGAATAAGGCCATGGTCAAGGGCGATGGCTAAATCAATATCGGTCGAATTTAATATTTGATGTGGGTGAAATTGGCCGCTTTTGGCTACGCCACTGACAACTCTAGTAACAACAGTTAAGTTTCGATAAGTGTAAATATTTGTTTTGATTTGGTGCAGTGACGGTGAGTTGACACAAAAGTGTCACCAAGCCTCAGGAAGATAATATTTGTTTTCATCATTAGAGAGGTAAAGAGAAAATTAAACAGGTATTAAAAATAAAACAACAAACTTTTATTAATTTGAGTTTTATCCAGAGACGTACTTACACTTTTTCAGGGCCCGACAGTGACATGAAAGTTAAGTACGGCCCGGTATATCACAGCAATTCTATCTAAACTAATACATTGGGCGTGGATGTATACATTCCTTTTCAGAAAGTTCAGATTATGAATTCGGTGTCTCACTAAAAGCACGGACAATATTTACACATTAATAATTTACATTACATTATATAAATTAAAAAAATAAATTAGTCCCTATAAAATAATTATAAAATACTATTTAATAAGTAATATCAATTCGAGTATATTTAAATAATATAAAATATAAATATACAGTCAAACTATATCAGATCTATGCGAGCGGCTGAGGCCGCGCTTAGTCAATCGGTCTCAATGAGATTTCATTTGCTCGAGTTTGCCTTGAAGTGGTTAAATACCTGGACGATGTATTCGAGCATGTTTAGATAGTCTCTGTAGATGATCCAGTTTCGGACGTTCTTGTTAGTATCGTCCATGTTTCTGTACTCCTCGCCCATGAGGTCCCGAGTGACGGTCTCCTCCACCGTGAGGTCATTCTCGATGATCGCCGTGTGAATCTCGCACAGTACGTTATGCAAGAAGTCCTCGGTGGCGGCGAAAGAAGATTTAAACTCTCCATTTCGGTCCTCCTCGTCCCAGACGACCTGCTCCATACCAACAGCGATCTTCTGAAGGTAGACGTAGACTTTCAACAAAGTCTGTTTAAACTGCAACACAAAATCGAAGTTATAGCGACGTCCTTGTAACCCAGCCGCTAGAATTATTTACCTCTAAGCTCTGAAGATGGTCCTGGGGAACCTGCTCGTTCAGCTTCTTGGGGATCTCCTCCATCGGCAGCCATGCATAGTCTTTGTCTGCGTAATACGTGTGCAGCTGTCCCACTTTCATGTTGAACAGTTTGTCGGCCTGCAACGAGAATGCCGCAATTAGTGGTGTTCGGGGAACTCAAAACGAACGAATTTAGAGCAATTTAGCCCTTCGTCGAAGCGCGAATTAGACTCCTTGCGTTAGCCGAAAGAATGATTAACTGGCTCAGCTTATTATTACTACAGGTCTATTAGTATGCGCGATCGGTGTTATATTATGCCGTCCGTTGATGTCTGATTACACACTATCATATTTTTCGTCTCTTTCGCCGTCTTTCACTCTTCGTATACGTTCTCTCGTTCCATCGGATACAAATACTTCGCGTCTTTGTCACATCCGGCAAAATCGTGTCCGTTTTCCTCCGTCGTTAATAGCTAACTATTGTTCGACGACAATCAATTTATTAAGAGGAAGCGGGTGCAATTCCAGAAGGACCAGGAGAACGTGCACTTCCTCCGAGCGTCGCGATCGCGTTCGTACACATCGGCGTCAGACCGTCTGCCGCATCAAGGTCGGCCTCTATCTAATAATAATAAGAATAATATCTTCATTGCCCAACGGCCAACCCACTCGCCAGATAAATTCGCTAAGCAATTAATTAAGCCGCACACTAAACTACCTACCAGCTTCGAAGCTGGAAAATCGGAAAAGGTGAAGGCTGGAACCGACTCAGCCAATTTTGACTAGAAGTAGGTCTCCGCGCAATTGAACGCAAGCGGAAAATACGAAACGGGAAAGAATATCCACGAAACAAATAATAGTGGTCCCAAGACGAAACCTTAGGATACCCTTGAAGGAACAAAAAATGAGTTCTGTACTGGCAAAAAGACATCAAATAAATTGAAACTAATAATGTCGACATATATTACTTGTAAAAAGTTTTTTTCATTAAATATTTAATATTTTGAATTTTGTCTAAATTTTACGTTGGCGAAAATCTTTGAAAAGCTCCTGAAACTTTCGTCTAAGTAATGAGTTACTGTCTAACTGTCAATATGGATTTATACTATTATCCAGTAGAGGTGCCACAGGGATCGGTTTTGGGTCCCCTTCTCTTAATGACATATGTGTGATTGATTGTTTTCACTATGTGACTTCTGGGAACATATGTTTAAAATGTTGTGTTGTAAATTAAAGAATACGGTAGATAATAAAAAGTAAAAGAGAAAAATAAAACCAAAAAAGTGCAAACTCGGCTAGACGACAATTTATAGCTTTCCAAATTTCAATTTAGATACTATTGGATACTGAAAGGACTTGAAACAAAACCGCAGAATTTAAACCCAGTGTGCTCAAATCCGACAAGTCAAAGTAGTAACGTTTCCCCGCGTACCTTGACCATAACATCAACTTTTGGCAAGTTCCACTTTGGCCGAAAACCTGACGCACTGGTAGCAGTACCGTTCAGCGTAATCTTTTGCACTGCAATGCTGCAATTATCACACCAAATCCACTTACGAAGTCAATCTGGAAGGTCTTCGCTTTGGACTCGGCTATCTGGGCTATACTAGCGATCTGCTCGATCAGTTTGGAGTCGGGCATCCGATGCTCGGGCGCCGCTCCGTTGAGGCTGCCCATTCCGCAGGGGTTGAGCCACTTGGGGTCGCTCTTTTCCCTCGACGACATCGGCTTTCGTATCGTCGGCGCCGACTGAGCGATTGGGAATGTGAGCAGGGTTAGGTAAGCGCTGACGATTAGGGCTTGCTTTAATCCTGCAAGAAAACACACACGTGTTACAATATTTGGACACTTGTTGGACAAATACAGCGGTGTGGACATACCCGAAGGGCGCCAGAGCGTGAGAACGAGACCTCGTCGCCGCTACGGGTATTCACCGCCACGACCACCATGTCCAGAAGGTGAGATACGCGGTCCTGGACCTGCGTGCGCAGAAGGCGCGAAATTTTGAACATATGCGAGTTGTCGGTTGATCAAAAGTTTGGAATACCGCCACGATAATAGATAGACATTTTTCGGCCAGGGGAGCAACCCAGTGGTTTTTAAATATTAGTGATATCTTAAAAAAAATATTTGAAAAAATTGATTTCACCGTTTTTAATTTTTCATTGAATAAGTACACGTTTTTTTGATTTGTTATCTCGTCAGATAAAATGTTTCGTTTTTCAAAAACTTTTTTCCATTTGAAATTAAAATAAATGTTTCCTATTGACAATAATATGGTAATTTATATTTTAAAGGCTAATAAATAATGTGCTGTGTCAGTCAGACAGTTCGGTTTAGCAACTAACTTGACATACTTTCTTCAAAAATGCTTCTAACGATATTGGGTAAGAATATGTTAAAGTAGAAAAAAAGCTTTTAAGTTTAAAGCAACATTTTGACTTAAAACGTCACTATGGTTGTAAATCAAATAACTTTCACATATTAATAAAAAATTAGCTCTTAACGAAGTTAACAGAGGCTGCATTCTATTTCTGTTTTGGGTATATATGTTCGCAAAGCCATTTAGGAGATGCAAAATCCAATTTAACTCGTCTGTTACGTCACGAAGGGTAAATTATTAATCTCGTTGCTCGTCATGGCATTAATCACTTTTGTGACTGCCTATTAAAAATCGTGATAATAATTATTCCTTGTGTTATCATAGGATTTAACTATAATTTGGATATTTTTAACAGTGCCATCCAGTTACCCAAAACATTCATTTTTTGACTTTTTAAATATTGGCTTCAAAACTCTATTGGTGTGATTATTATTAATGCATTTAATTTTCGAGAAAAGTTTAAATTTGGATAAACAATGACAGCAATAAATGTGATGTATTCTTTAAGTAGAGATTTTAAATTTTCCGTTTAAACTGATTAAGGCAACAATAAATTTAGAATTTTTATAAGCAGCTTCATCTAATTATCAAGAATTGGAGAGAGATTATCATTTAAGCAGAGGCATTAATGAAATATTTAAATTTCACTCTTTTTTAATATTCTTGTGATAATTAAATCTGGTCAAATACATTAAAAAAGTTATTCGCTCGTAACAAAACTGACAAGTAATTAAATAAATAAAACGTATTATTCTAAACGTAGTTCACACTACACAACGAAATATTTTAGCACTTTGTAAAGATAACCTTTGTTGTGCCAGTGCCACTTGCAAATTGTTAGAAGAAATTCAGATCAACTTGTGTGCAACGTATCAAATTTTAAGTGGATTCATTGTGATGCATTGCACATTCCGTATTATTAGTTTTTTGATTTCAAATCTTTTTTACGGCGATACTTTAAATTGGTCTTTTTATTGTTACTATCATCTAGAGACACCCTGTATATGCAACAAAAAACCAACAAAATTTCAAAAAACAGTAAAACGTCAAAAAACAAATATTAAAAAGAATCAGATTTTGCAAATTTTTTGTGATATGATTCGACAAAAAGTTTGTTTTTTGGGCTCTAAAAATTCATCAAAGTGATATTAATACGGCTAAAACAAAAATGTTTCGTATCGTTAATTCTTGATTTGTAAAAACGGCTGAATGCAGGTGCGCGCGCAATCCGCTCTCAGGAACAAAGTATAGATTCGCTAATGACCGCTAATTACAGTCGCAACTTGATCACTCCAACTATTTACAACATTTTTGCGAAATTGTCGGCACACAGGTGTGCACAAATTTTTGTCGGTGATCAGATCGTCCGCGGATAACCCTGGAGCGCGTTAGAGCTCAAAGCGCCCGAGGTGCAACCACCGGCGAGATAATCGGCGGCGCGATGGATAATTTTTTGGAATGGGAGGTTTTGGACTCGCCGAGAGCTTTTGGCCGAGTCCGAGTATCGATCTGAGTCAACAAACTTCCCGATGCATCAGAATTCGTGAATCACATCGGCCCAATTAAGCCAGGTACGGCTACTATATTGTGCGCGCAAAAAATCGGCCCGCTTTGGAGCGATGGTGAGGATTATTGATAGTTTGATCCGTGGCTGGTTCCGGTAATGCCGCGCGCTATTGGCCACCTGTTGATTGCTCCGCCTATCGTTATACATATCAATCGTGGTAAACGCTCGACTTACTGCTTAAACTCTTCCAGAAGTTGTTACTTTTCCTGGTTTTACACGAGGAGTGTGGACTCGTCCTTCCCGGAACGCGCTGACTAACCGTCTCATTTTGTCTCGTTAAAACAGTCTGCGGATCTTCGTGCTCTTTCACTGGCACCACGTGCCTGTCAAAAGTGTGGATTTTGGCGGTCCTTTGGTCGCGGTCCAGCATGCCGGCGGTGTGACCCGTCCGCGTATCCATCGTTTGCACTTTTATCTTATCTCGAGATAAGGAGAGACTCGCGTTGAAATCACCGAAACTTCACTGGTTGCGGTCACTGGTGACTAGAACCTCACGTGTGTTTACAACAACAGCGACGCACAGTGTCGGAACGTCTGTCAGACTTAACACAACATTCTGCTAGTGGACAAAACGTAAACTGACGAACTATTTATGCTAGAGGGTGTGCCGTGTCTCGTGACTCCTCCTTCACTACTACTAATTCATAAATGTAAGACTCCCCACCATTATAGGATAATTTCCGGGTGATCGTCTGATTCCAGATACATAACACTACGACAACCGTACTGACCTCCGCATTAATCACACATGCCGTAATCTGCGTAAGCCGAAACGTGTGCACGCAACCACAAAGCCGCCGCCGCCGCCGCCGCCGCCACGCTCGCCCATCTTATCCAAACGGTAAAGCCAGTATCAGCTATCGGAAATCGAAACTTTACGTGAGAATTTTCGGAAATTCCGCAACGCTCAGCTCCAAGAATCCGACTTATCGCAAGACGCGGCAAAAAAAAGCCGCACCGCCGCCACTGATTAATCACGAACAATAAAACTCGAAAAAAATCATCGCGCTTTTTCTTATGTAATACGCATCCTTGTTTGACGCCAATGGTGCAGCCGTTAAAAATTTTATGGACCAGCTGACAACCATTTGTGGATTCAGATCGACGTGCCTCCCCCGTTAATAAAAATATCGACCGCCGAAACGGGAAGGTCCATTCGTAGGGAGGCCCCAAATTTAACTTTGGAAGACATCGAAAGAATTTCGACACGCGAACTTGTCGTCGTGCCAACAGCGAATCACTTGAATTTTTTTTAAACAAACACGACGAGCTTCAATAATTAATCTTGTTTGTGTTAACTGCTGCGGGCTCATCTTATAAAATAATAAACCATAAATCTCTTAATTTGATTCATTATGCAAACTCTAACGTGGTTAAGGTCGGCACATTTTCGTCAAAGCCACACTAAAAAACAGTGAATCACTCGAGTGTATTCTGTATCACTATTATGGCACCGTGTCATTAAATTTATAATTATGGTAATTGATAGACGAAACCGTCAATTCAAATCCCGATTTTCATAGGTGAACGACAGTGGATGTAAAATGACAAACCAGGAATGTGAACAAACTTTCAGACTTTCTAGAAAAGCCGTATTAATTCCAAGAAATCCCGTACACTGCTCAGGTAACATCAAATTACAAACTTTTACACAACCTCGACGATAAAGCGTTTAGATATTTGCCGTCAAGAGATAAAAATGTGTACGTAATTATTATAATTGCTGTTGAGAGATTACAGTTTCACGTGTTTTGTGCAGATGTAAAATTAAACTCATTACATCTATTTATACGTAGCGTCAGTAAACAAATATTTATCGCTAAATGCGCTTGAAACATAAGCGCGTTTTTATTTTTGTAATTTTATAATTCTGACATTTTGCGCCTCTCAAATACTGACGTGTGTGATATTCGACTACGACAATAATAACAATTAATTATCCGGAAACCGTAACATGCTAATTTTCTAATTTGTCACCTAAAACTTCGAAAATGACATTGAGCAAATGTTTAAATAATATATGCAAACAAATCGCCGAGTGCGAAATAAAGAAATCAAGTCTAAACTTGCACGCGCCGAAATATCATTCACAGTTTGAATGTTTGAACAAGAATTTATTTTGTTTAAACAATTTTAACTAGTCGAGCGTACACCAGAAGAATAGGGAATCCCTGCCTAGTATATTGGTAAGTTTTATTGCAAACAAATGGCAGGTGTATAATTAGGTAATGAATAAATGATTCATGCTTCGTGGTCGACCTTGCAAGGTGTAATAGACTAAGATTTCTTGTGGATACACATTCGTACTTGTGCAATACGGATTTGAATTTTCACCTATGGAACTGCCACTCGTGACAAAGCATCTTCGGACAGTAATATTCCCTCCTGTTTGGACAATTTTCTTTTATGTCTTGTATAAACTTCCAAGAGCTGTTAAAAAATTCCGCACGGATCATGATGATGACAATGGTCATGAAACAACTATTAACTAGCGTTATTTAGCAAGAAAAACCGATTATTACGCATAATATCGACAGGGGGAATATTTCGCTATGAGCTCTTCCAACCCGCAGAAACGCGTGGGTTGTGGGGATTTTGCTGAAGATGCTAACGCACAAGGTGGAAAAATTTTACTGGGATGCTCACTAGACTCGGAGGAATTATGAGCAAAAATACTTAATTTACTGCATTCATGCGAGTGAAAGCAATAACAATCGTGACTGCAGATCATGGAAAAATAATAAAATTATTATTAAAAGCGTAAGTCACTATTGACGCTTGAGGCCACACTGATTAGCAGTAATTAGATAATGATAATATAGAAATACACCAGCACAGAGCTGAAGGCAGAAAGCGCTTCCGAAAAATTTTTGATTTGTAAATTATACATTTGTAATTTGTAAAAAATATAACGTGACTGCTATAACCCCTTGGGTTTTTTTGTTAAAGTTTTCTTCCACGATTATGTAAAAGTTTTACTGCAATAAAAAAGCTCCATCGAATTCGAAAGTTCAAAAGTAATGTACATGACACGAATATGCTTAGACAATATATAGTAATGTGTCTCGTTTCGTACTAGACATCCTTCAACCGGCCATATTTAGGTCCATATCTAATTTCAAGAATAAATGTTTCAAAAATAAAATTTATGTGATTGGAAATTATTTTTACTTCTCTTTAGTGACGATAGTAAGTCTTGTAGGTTGATGTGTGATCAACAAATAACGGTCTAAATAAATATATGGTGAATCACAATATTTAGCCACCTTTTTTAAAGCCAAACAGGATGTAAAACGCAAGCAGAATAAGATCCTAAATGAAGGAATTACCTTGTGTCGTAACTTAAATGCACCGCTGTCTCTGAAGTGCGAAATAAATTTTTCTGAGAACTTGTAAGTTGACTAAACATTTACGTCTTTGAAAATCGCTTAAAAATTGACGAATGATTTCTTAGTACTCCTATTGTAAAATTTTGGATTTTAATGTGTTACTAATAAATTTAAAATAAAATAGTGATAGATTAAGCTAAATATGTATAAAATATTTTTTCACTATCCAGATTAATACTTTAGTTATACATGGTGTCCCAGATAAAACTTCGCGGTCTTATGCCTTAAGATCACATAGAAACATTGAAATTAACACCGCCGAATTTTATCTGGAACACCTGTATAATTTAACGTGACAAATCTAGCGAAACCTCTAAATTTATGACTTTTGTAGTTGCATTTGCTACCGTAATTTTTTTGCGGATATTCAGAATTAGTAGTCGCATCGGTGAATGTCAGGATTGAACATTTGTTGGGACCAAGAAGATTTAACATTTTGTTTTTTACGCATCTTGCTTGTTTCTAAAGCATTTGCTAAATTTATTAACCCCGTGAATGAAATGTGTAGGTTACAGTTAAATTTTCATTCAGGTTTAATTTTGTCTCGAACACCTGTATAATTTAATGTGACAACTTCAGCGAAACTACCAAATTTATGAGTTTTGTTGTTGCATTTGTCTATCGTAATTTTTTTGCGGATATTCGGCATTAATAGTCGCATCGGTCAGTGTCAGGGTTATAAAGTTGAACATTTGTTGGGACCAGCTTGCTTTTTACGCATCTTATTTGTTTTTAAAGCATTTGCTAAACCGTGAATGAAATACGTAGGTTACAGTTAAAATTTTCAGGTTTTTCAGTTTCCGGTGTTTTTTTTCCTAGACGGTTTCTCCCCGCACGACTCGTATTCCTGGCATGGTGCTAGAAAGGAAATAAGAAAATTCCATCTGCATTTCGTCCGGTGTATAAATTCCGCTCACGCAGGTTAGAAGAAAATGAATGCGAATTTTATAGAATTTTCCGTAATTTTGTGGTGGTGACCGGCGTGGAGAAGTTTTGGTCGGTATTACGAAAAAAAAGGGAAACTACCGCGTTGTATTAGATACAGCATTTGAAAACCATTAAAAACGAGTATAACGTAACTTCTCCTAATTGTGTATATTCCCCAAACCGCAAGTGCATTAGTGTATTGATTGCACAGGAAGAGATAACAGTTAATTAAAGGTAAGAAAAAAAAATTAAAGCGAAATCTAAAAAGTTGTGGGTATGCCATTATCAGCATACAAGAAAGCAGCATCAAGTCAGTTTCTCAAGGCTTTAGCGGGATGCTGATGCCGAAGAGAGACGTGTGGCAATTTGTCAAACTTTTGCCTCGCCTTCTTTGACACCCTCTTTTTTGTCCTCGTTCGATTCGTTACCAGTGTCCAAATCAATTTAAATGCCTTCCAAAGCAAAAAGCGTGTAACGAAGTGCGAATGACCCGCCGATTATCCACCTCAACCGCATTAGATAAATGAAATAGCTCGTTTCTCATTGCGGTTTCTAAACGACCAAAACGAAGGGATAAAAAATTCCGACGTTTCCATTTTTTTACCGAAATGTGTTATTAACTACATAACACATGCAAGATGTCCAAGACGGTCACTCCGCGGTCGTCGGGGAATGTTGTCAATGTCAATCGCTAGTTCGACTACTTTGTTTTAGCGCAACAGCGTTTCCATTATAATTTACTTTTTTATTGCTCTTAATTGACCGATTAAATTCTGGGAGGTACTTTTTGTGTTGTGTGAACAACGTCCATGCGCGTATTTTGAAGGAATTAATCATATTTAATTGCGTTATACGTACGTACGGAACAATTGGAGCAATTTTAAATATTTTTGGTAATACCGCGATGATGGGATGACTCATAAAAACTACTATCTCTGGAAGTAATTAAGCTAATGTGCGGATTTCGGGCGCTGCGACTTACCTTCCCCATGAAGAATGAAACGGTGATACATTGATACATCGCAATTTTGTACAGTTACTCTTTTAACCACTGCACATTTTTATGGAAGGAAACGTTGCAATCATCTATCGAACGAAAACTCATGACAAACAATTTTATGACATTCACAAAAATGCAAAATTTATTAAGTGTCAACCGGTGACGAGAGCCGTCTTGGCAAGCTACCAATCTGATACGACCGCTAAGAGAAAAATCCGAAATTTTCTGGTATTTAGACAGGAGCTTCCGAGC